TCCACAAAATGAGATATGCTACTGATGAAACATGAGAGTATAAAATTGGTAACCTTTAGAACCGAAGAATCGATGGAGGAATCGAATAAATCTTGTGATTACCGGCGATGAGGAAGAAGAGAGGCCAGCGATGAAGGAAGAACACTGAGCTCGAACTGGCTCGGCCTCGGGGAGGAAGAAGGGGTATATAGGAGGGGACCTTTAGTCCCGGTTGGAGATAGCAACTGGGACTAAATGTCCATTTCTAATCCTGGACGGAGCCTCCAACCGGGAGTAGACTTTTACTCCCGGTTGGAGGGACCAACCGGGAGTAAAAGTTAACCTTTAGTCCCGTTGGTAGCTCCAACCGGGACTAAAGGTCCCCTGCAGGAAAAGCCTGCCGCAGTAGCCGTTGGGTAGGGACCTTTAGTCCCTGTTGGATTTACCAACTGGGACTAAAGGTTTCTCTAGTCCCGGACGCGAAAAATACCGGGACTAAAGCTAAATTTCGAAGTGGATCAAAAGTCGTTTCTCTACTAGTGCGTAGAGAGCACTTGATCCTTGCGCGGATCAAGGGAGAGCTACACCCTTACGCGGGTGCTCCAACGAGGACTAGTGGGGAGTGACAACTCTCCGATATCTCGGCAAAACATCGCCGCGTTCCTCCTTCTCTCTTTACTTTGAGCAGTTACTTCGAGCAATTCAATTTTTGTCATTTACATTCCTAGAATTGTTATGCTAGAGTAGGATTGGAACTTAGGTTGCTAAACTTTTATGCGTTACATCAATAGAAACACTATCTAGGCACAAGGGGTTAATTGGGCTAACTGTAGAGTTTAATTATTGCAAAGAAATTTAGAATTAGCCCAATTCACCCCTCTCTTGGGCATCTTGATCCTTTCACTATCGAACTTGACATCCGATACATGCACATTAATAAACCTAAAAACAGTACACCATGAATTATAAAACAAGATAAAAACGATTCTAACGTGAAGCGGTGATCCTACCATCACCTGAGCGCAAAAACACCTAAAACGGACTACGGCGAGCTTTTGAAGTTTTAAGGGTTAAATCATAAAATTGACATTTTATAAAATTGTTTTTACATCAAAAGAATAGATTTATGACATAATTGGATAGGCTAAAAGAAAGGACATGGCTTAGAGTTGAAGTCGGCATTGATATAACATTATTGGATGATATTTCTGGATGGGGAGAAATTGGTATACGACGTTACATGATTGAATGCTCACATCATCAAGGATATATATAATGAAAAGAAAGGATAATTATTAGCATCCTGATGTAACCAAGGACAAAAGCCACATGCAGGATCTTTCGAAGTAAAGGTTAAACTGGTTGGAGATTTTTGTCAAGCACGTGCATACAAGTTTGGAAGATGGGGGATATAGTAGCTGCTCGTGGTTCTGTACGGCAAGTTTTGCTGGCATGTAACGGAAAGAAAGTTGCGGCCAAGTGCAAAACAAAAAGTTTGCGACCTAGATATATATGTTCCTCACCTGAGTGCTGTGATCAATGGAGAAGTGACAATGATGAAAGAGACGACAGCTGCAGTCATCTATGAGGTCGAGTGTACTCAGGTCCGGCGAGTGACACCAGAACCACAGGAACAACAAAAGAAAAGGGGAATTAGCAGACTGCGGTGGCCAAGTTATGAATAGCTAGACAGATGATTCTCACCCTGCTGATGGCCAGCGTTTGGAGCAACCGTGAGTGACGATGAGGAAGAACGAGAAAGCGATGATGACAACTTCATGTGAAAACGGCGAGACTTCATCGCGCCATGACGTTACAGCGGGGAAAAGAATAAAGAACATGATTGATCAATTAGTAGGAACTGAACTTGATCAAGACTTGAAGGTGAAAACCTCACCGTTACGGCAGCAACGGCATCCGTCCACGGCAAGCACGAAGCAGCAAAACAACAGAGAACTGCCCGCACAGGCCGTAACTTCTTGTTCCAGCACTCTGCCCTCAACGATCTTGCGATAGTGACATAGTGTTGGATGGAAGAGAACAAGAAGGTGGAAACGTGAAGTGCAAAAGGAGATCAGAAGCGCTCGGCGGCTCCATGTTTATATTTATAGATTAGAGGTGAAAGGAGGGGACGGGTGGGAGATGAAGAGAAAGCCATCGATCTCAGTCATGGCCGGCCACTGTGGATATAGAACGACCCCTGGCTTCTTTGGTCATGGCATTTTGATGGAGAAGCAAGCTGCGATGGATGTAGCATATGGTTGCTGGCAGTGCCTTTTATAGGTGTGGGCAGGGAACTGAGAGATCGTGTAGGAGTTAAACTTGCTAATGGTGGTGCCTTGGATTAATGCCACTATGGCAACAGTTTGACGTCTCCTGTTGTTGGAATTGAAAGAAGATTGAGTGGGCGACTGTTTTTGCTTGTTAATGAGCACATTTCATTGATGACATGCAGGCATGCATGCAGCAGAAGGCGGCGTCCATAGCAACCAGACGAAAAGGCAAGGCAAAGTGAGGTGGGACGAATGTAAGTATGCATGCATGTTATAGGACAGATCTCTGAAGCAAGATGGGCCAGCTTGAACTGCCGTGAGATGGAGAGAGGAAGAAGCTAATACAAATTTGGTGGACTGGTTAAACAGGGAATTATGCGAGTGCATTAATAGAATAATGTGGAGGCCTCATTGTTTGCTTGTCAAAGTGATCCGACGTGCAAATGATTAAGCATGTAGACAAAGGAAATATGAGGAAAAGGGAGAAAGGAGATTAAGTTTACAATGGAGAAGATGGCTATTTGCTCAAGGACTAAAATGTGATACGTGGAGAGAATATGAGATGGATAAAGAATGATCAAAGATTATGAGATCAAAAGGATTTTAGTCAAACAATAATTAAAGAGTTTGACTATGATTTTAGAAATTATATTTAAATTACTTTTTCAAGGACTTTTAAAACTCAAACTATTTTTCGAGACATTTAGAAAACATAATTTGAAATTTATTATTATTATTTTTAAATAAGCAGAGCAAAACATATTCAAGGCTTTATCGAATTTTCTAAATTCATTTTTCACTCTAGAAAACTTATGCAAGGGCATGAAATGCAACAAACAAGCTATATTAATTTGTAAAAGTTTTATCAAATTCTTTTCTTTTGTCCACTAGATCGAAAACAAACTAACTAAAGCTTGAATTTTTAAAAAAAAATACTAAATCATATATTTTGTTATGTGTTTTCGTTCACATCCCAAAATGAAAATTTTGGGGTCTGACATAGTGCTTGTGTTTGTTAGTTGCTTGTGTAGTCTCTAGTTTCGTAGTAGCTCACTAGAGTAATTTAGTTGTTGAAGTTAAGTAGCTAGTGTTAGTTGCTTAGCTTGTTAGCTATCTAGTGTAGCATGTTAGTAAGTAGCTCTTGTGTGTGGTGAAGTACTATAGAGTATAATACAATCGCAACTAGAATTGTGTAGGGGCTTTGCTTTGGGGGAAAATAGAGCTAGTACAAAGTAGTTGCTATTAGGGCCATATTTTGTACTAATGAACTTTGCTCTAGTATTGTGAATTTGTAGAGAAATTTTTATAGGTTATTCATCACTCTAGCCATCTAGATCCTTTCACGAGTAAAATGACTAAAGATGCATAGAAACACCCCTCTTGGGTTGAGACTCTGGTGCACCCTTCCGGTGCCGCACCTGGCATTTCCGGTTAACGTTTTCGAAAACTCATGCATGTCAGATACAACTGTTCCAAAAGTATCTCTGTGTAATCAAACTTGAAGTCGTTGCCTTTGTAGCTCCATGAAATCCACCCGACGAGTCTTATCACAGACCCACTGCAAACAAGAGCCTCCGCTATTCCCGCAACTCCATGCTCCATAACTCCACCTGTAGCTATACACTCTTCTCTTTTATCGCCACAGTCTCCATTGAGCATAATTAGATTCCTCTCCAGCCCTGAGCCCCTGACATACTTGGCTCCTTGAGATATCTTACAAATTTGCTAGGAGGTTTGCTTTGAGTCTTCACGAATTCTTATTCATGCATATAGGTGACATCTCGATCCTTTCTAGTTTTTTTCACTTCTCCACTTATCTATATGAGATTTCCTAAGATCCTTTATATTACAAGATGGAGAGACATTAGTTTATATTGTAATTTCAATAACTTCGTTTATGTGTAATAGCTCGGTAAGATTAGTGTAACAAAAATAAGAGTATGGAATTCTCCAATAGCACGTGACTTTTATTTTTCCTATGTTTTATAATCATATCATTTCGCAACTTCTCTTTTTTCACTGATTCTTTTTTTTAACGCAATTTTTTTGGGGATTCATGTGGTAGTTTTTAGGGTTTGAGAGTGAAAGATATGACCTTGTCCAACTTTCCTTATAATAGTACACTAATTTTTTGTTTAGGTTCTTTTTAACATTTGGAAATCCATCAAATCAAACTATGTTTTTGCTAATTCTCAATTGAGTCTACTATTTATACTAATTATAATTTATATGTTAGCTTTTATTTAGATGTTTTCTCTTCTTATTCATTTGGAGATCAAATTGCCAACTTTCATAGTTTTTTATTTGGATTTTCCATTTACTTTCTTTACATAGACTCTTTATCTACACATTTTTGCTTTCCAATTCTTGTTGAGATCAAATTAATTTCTTTATTAATTTATTATTTAAATTTACTATTTATCCAAGTATTATTAGGCATGGACTTTTTTAGTTTAAACTCTTGTCTCTTTGCACGTCAACAAATCCAACAGTATATTTTTTATTTTTTTCTGATGAATCTTGTAATTGTATATCCTCTTAGTGAACGTGGTCATTTTAACACTACTGTAATCTGCAATAACATAATAATAGATAGATAAATAGATGGGGTAGAAATATAGTAGTAGTAGCTAGGTCCAAAGGCAAAAGCACATTCGGAGCAGGTTCAGCTGTTCGGACATGCAAGCATGTGTCCCAGTCCAAGAAGCACCCCGAATCATCAACATCGGCCCCACTGCGCTGCTTAACTCAGCAGAAGAACATGGAAGACTCGACATTCTCATGCAGCCGAGGCAGCTCCGGAAAAGGCGGCGCTTGGCCGCCACTGGCTGACGACGCCTGGCCGCCACTGGCCGACGACGCCGTCTCTGATGCGTCATCGAACCTGACGAACTGCCGCACCTGCTTAGCCGCGAGGTGCGCGTAGTAGACCGGAGCAACTGCACGAGCAAAACATTGGCTCTGATCATAAAGCAATGAACCTGAAACTGCAAATCGCGAGGGCAAGCAAGTAGCTTCGGCATACCGACTGATATGGCTGAGGTGCTCCTCTGGTACCTGGAAATGTCGCAGCATTTGCAAAATGCAAGTGAGATCACATCATAGGAAATAGGAATGCAATATCTTTTTTTTTCTGCCGAGTACATGCAATGTCAGTGAGCATACACATAGGAGAGGCAGTGGACGAGCTCCTGCAGAGCATCGGGAGAGAAGCCGATCTCATCGTGCAGCACTTGGTAATGCGCTGGCCTTGTTGTCCCCTGGAAATAACGACACAAGCACATCGGCTGGATTAGGAGGGGAGTCGCTGGGTTGGGGCCTTAGGTTCTTGGGGACACCCATTTAAACCATCATCAATTGCACCAAACGATGAAGCGGCTACCATGAAGCATGGTGAAGCAAATCATAAGCCACAAGTGCATAGAGATTAGAGACCACACTTACAATCCTGCCGGCATGGGCACACATGTAGAAATCATAGCATCTGGGGTGGCAGATTCCTGTGTCCACAACAGTACCTGCACAGAGACTTCAGGATGAGGACATAATTTTTTAGGATACCAAGCCAAATTAAGTAAAACATCTAGGTTACCAGCAGGGACAGTAGCCGTATCATTGCCATCTCTGAAAAACCTTGTGTGATGGTTTTTCTGCGCAACAATCACTGTGAACTTGGGGAGCCAGGTATTATCATTCTTATTCTTTTTAATAAACTTGCATGCCTACATCAGAGGAAAAATATTTATGTATTAACAAACAGATGAAGTCGACGTTGCAGATGAACAAATCACGGGAGGGCATGTTTCTACCTCAATGATCTGAGCCAGCTCAATATTCAGAACCTGATTAAACTGGCCCTCACTAACTCCATCCCTGAAATAAAACGATAATAAATTCCTTCCACAAATAAAATCACGAAACAGCATGACACTGTCTTCATTTCCATTACTGGATGGAAGATGCACTTCTACTGCTAAGATTGCACAATTCAATATCACTTTCAGATGGGTTACGAACCTGAAAATGATGATTTGTTCTGGTTTTCGCTTACCAGAGCTAAGGTAGAAATCAAATAATAACTCCCTGAAGCAAGTGCAAGTCCCAAGGAGCAACTCATTAGGAAATATTATAGTCATGGTAGACATACCCAAAATAACTTTTTTTTAACAAAAATCACCTTATGAGGCCACGGTCTTCTTTTCCCTGAGGCTTGAACAGGGAATCAATCATCTCCACCCTGGGTGATTGAGTGCACACGGAAGCTCTGTATCTGGAGATGCAAGGCCAACCCAAGGAACTAACAACCTTATCGGCACAGAAGTACAAGGTTTCACGTCAATAAATGATTGGTTATAAGATGACAGTGGGTTTCATACTGTGCTGCATCTAGAAAACAGAAACAGTGCAAAAAAAAAGCATAAATCCATTACATACCGCAGCAATGGATGGTACATTCGACCGTGGTGCACCATGTGAAACATCCATACCAAAGATAATGGTTGGAACCCTCGACACAATAGGAATGGCTTGGTTTCTTTCAATTTCCAAAAGTGAATTCAACCCACCAAGCTGATGAGGAAAAAATAAGACAGCAACAAAATACATTCAAATTGGCAGTAACAAAAACGCAAAAGATGATGAACGAGGTTTTTATAAATGGGAATGCTCCGCAAACCTTGGCATTTATCTTCAGCAGCACATTTGTGAGGTACTGATCATCGAGTTTTTAGGCACCAAACATTGCGTCACAACACCATATTCCACAAGGCATTTTCGCTTCCATGGCCCTGGTAAGATTCACAACAGTTTGGGTTTACATAGGGCGTAATAATCTTATCCTGCAAGGGAGACATTGACAAGCTAGTACACTCAAATATAAGAAAGCTAGTATAACAACCATAAATGTCACTGTTCTTATCTGGAAGAACACACAACAGGAAAGTTGGGGGTTCACAAAGCTTCTTTTCAATCTTCTTTCCAATCTGCTCTAACATATCATCAACTCTACTGGCTGCAGATGCATTCCTTTGAAGCCTCTCCCCAAATATAGATTGAGGAGGTGAAATTATCTGCAAATCAACCTGGATGAATACGGAGAATTTAAGAGTTGTACAATATCAGGTAGAAACATAGACCTACAATGCCCTTGTTGTCACCACAGTTAATGAGCCTCCGAACAAGATCCTGAAGATCCCGAAGATTCCACTTTGTCGTAAAATTAACAACAGCCCATGTGTCCACTCCCTTGGCCTCAATGAGCTTCTGAATGGCACAATATAGGCATTGTTGTTAGCACAACAGCAAACAAGATTAATGCGATATTGTAAGGACTACAATCAGAAGAGACCCTTACCCTGTTCATGAAGTTCCACCTCCCATCACGTGCAATAAGATCTTGACCATCCCCAGCTTTTAGCTACACATGACAACCATAACCAGGTGTGCAACATTTGCAACATCATCAGCACACCTAAGAGCCTGGAAAAAAGAAAGGGGAACTAGTAAAGTTCTGGCCAACCTTTGGTGCCTGAAGGACTCTACCATCAACTTGAGCAAACTCTGGAGCTATTGAAATGCCACACTTCTTCAGCATATCATCCGAATTATAGTTACTGCGTTGCAGTGCCTGGTAATGATGGTAGAAGTCGAAATGTTAATCAAACGGCTATGGCAGTGAGCTATTTAATTAAATGTCCATGGATGAACTTACACCAGACAAATCTGACTTCCTTTCTCTAGGGTTCTTCCGCGAACTTTGGACCAGCGAGGACCGCTGTAGTGTAGTCAGAGCCTTTGTGTACCTTTGCAGTGACACTAGATGGCAAAGCTGATAATTGTAGACAGATTCTAGTGTTACGCGCAAACAAAACAAGAACGACTTACCTGGACTGCAATGGCACAATTTTTTTAATGAAACAAAATTGACAGACCTCTATCGGTAGATATGTGGGACGCTTGGGCTTCCCAACATCCAAGCAGGGAAAATTAGCAGAATCCTGCAGTCTTATATCCCAATGCTTCAAGTAGTAATCATAGACCGTTATTTCCACGAAATCGGATCCATTGCCGTTTCTTTGCTTCAATGGGAACCTGAATCAAGAATTATATGTTAAACAACCTCCAGCTGGCCTTGCTGAATAACATCAAATCCAAGAATTTAATTATCTCACTTCTGTTCATAGCAAGACTTCTCACTCAGGCTGGAAATCTTGAATTCAGAGTTCGTGTGAGTGGTTTTGATCCTCAAATTCCTCAATACATGCTTTGCCTAAAAACAAGTCAATGATGAACAACTGAGCATTGGAGTAATCTGGTCGACTAGTCAATCTTGGGCTACCATATTATTGGGGGAAAACATGAGTTGCATCAAGGCCATGACTTACTTTGCCCCAGTCAATTCTGCGAGGGTCCTTGATATACTGGTTGGACAGTATAAAATTAATGACAGGCCCAGGTTCCACAATCATAGTCGTAGACACATCTGTACCAGTTGAAAAAAGTTGTATGTAATGTACTATCACTTTGTCGTAGACTGTTTAGCAATGATCTGATTACAAGTAATATCATTCAGCCTGTGGAAAACATACCGATGTTGAGTGAAAGTCCAGATTGAGTGGGTCGAAAGCTGGAATGATATCCTGGACATCGCACAACACCACCACACAACTTAACGGGCTCGGAAGGGCTATGGAAGAAAGACTGTCTAACTAGAAGGCAACCCCTGGGAAGTGCAGACAAAAAGAGCAAAGATTCAGTAAAGCAAGGAGTTCATATGTAACAAAAATATTTAGCTCTTGCTATTGGTACAAACAAAAAGATTGTGACATTTAACAAACCTTTGCATCAGTTGTTAACAAAATCATTTTAAAGAATCAGTCTTAGCAAAAAGGTATCACTTACTGTTTCGCTGACTTTTGCCTAAGTATGATATCAAGAACCTGAAGGGCTTCCTGACAATCATCAGATTCTTGACCTCTCAGGACTTTGTCAATGGCACTCAATGGAATTTCTCCCACTGATTTCAATTCCACTTTGTACGTCTTACAAGGCATGGGCCGCTTCATTCGTTTCGTGTGACTTCCTTCTGGACTTCCATTTCCTCCAGGGATCCTACTCCTAGCGGTCCTGAAACCAAGATAAGTTGCGCAACCAATGACAGATTAACTCAAGATCATAGTCAACATGAGAAAAGGTTAGTTAAGGTGGAATGATTACTTTGCAGATGAACCATCCTCCACTACTACTATGAACTCATTCATGACACTCTGAAGGGCACACATTGTGAATAGCTTCTTTTCACCGTCGTAAGCAAAGGTCACATTTGACAGATAGATGTCCTGCAACTTGTCGATCACTGTTCTACGTACCCCTTTCGATGTAACTGGTTTATCATCTTCATACTTCAGATTCACCTGAAAGTGGAACGATGTGTGAAATTAAGAGGGAATTTAGGGTCCAAAAAGATCAGAAGGTAGGATTATCAGAACCACACGCACATTGTAATGGTAGAAGATGACATCAGTACTGTGAACTGAGACTTTGAAGTGGTTTGTACGAAGCCGTATTTGGTTCCCTTTTGTGCCAGACCCATGAGGCCTCGAGATTGGGAGTCTCTGAGGAATTGGCGACTTGTTCAGGCCATCCTTGCTACTGCTGGACTCCATCCTAGGCCAGATTTGTCTACAGTGAAAACACAGAAAAGTGTTCTAGTTATAGAAGTGACTGCCACTCATCTATCTCAAGGGACAGCTTCTGCATTGAACCAATTCCATCTAATTTTTTTCCACATTAGACTGAATGATAAACTTGATTAGTGCTTCCAAATATGGGAAATTTTATTAGCAGTATACAATTTTTACTAATACAATTAAAATATAACAAGATCTTAAAAAAACAGGAATTTCTGTTGTTATAAACTACCCTGAGGTATCGAGCAGCG